TTTGTGCCCTCACCAGTTCAGACGCTGTGCTTGCATCTCAAAGAAGGAACTAGGTGAGAGGAAGAGTACAGATGACTTGGTCTCTCGCCTTCCTTAACTGGAGTATATCCTAGTACGGTCGATGCCTGGTCTGGACTGATCCCTCTACGCACAGTACTCCCAAGAGGTAAGCGGAATATATATACTTTTTCCAGTTTTAAATCCCCCCTACTTTTATACCAATTTTCTCAGGGGACTGTCGCCTCAGATTAAATTTACTGAAAACAACGTTAATTAACTTTAAGTTTATTACTTCTTTGGATCAGAGTATGCTGAAGTTAGCAGAGCTCGAATGCCGGAGCTTTTGAGATTGACCAGTAAAAGTTGGAAGGCACTCCAAAAAGCTAATTTCCATCAGTTATTTCGGTAAATAAACTCTAGTTGCTCAGTATGTTAAATACTTCTAGATTGTTGTAGAAACAGTTCTCAGAATATGCATATCACGAAATTAGGGTCTTGTTGTTATTTTAGCGGCGAATTTATTTAATAAAACTCCGTTTGCGTTTATTGACTTTCTGAGACATCCCCAAACAAAGGATACGTTTTTGATCCATCACAGTCTCCTTCTGTGAACTTCATTTACATTAGCACATGCCATATAAATTTGCATCATCATCATTCCTTGGGTACTTCCGTCTTAAAGGCGGCTAATGTATCCTCCTAAAATTTACGATTTTTTAATGTATACTGATTTACCTGATTACTAAGATAAGGAAAGACACTCTAGAAACAACATTATTCAGCTTAGTTGACAGTTTTACGAATTGGATTATAGGTTTATTGTCGATTCAAAGTAGTCCACACTCTGATGACAGTAGAAGGATGCTGCGTTATGTCGCACTTCAGTAGCTCATATAAGTCCTAGAAAGATATTCAATTCTTGACTAAAATCTATCTCACAGAGTTATTGTTGTAAGTATTAAAATATTAACCGGGCTGGTAATGAAATACGATCGTCGACAGTTTTAACGCTTCGGCATATATACCCATTCGATTGACCCACTTTTTAAAATTTCACAGCCTCGGTGGGAATCGAACCTACACAGAAATGAAGGCTTCTGCGCAGCCAACGCTCTGTCATTTGACCTACTTATGTTTTCAGCAACTCATTCTCGGGTCGGTACAATTGCAGGGATAATGAAAAACGTACAAAGGGACAGGGTTAATAGATGTCTTCTGATTACAACTCGTCGTTTTC